TCTACTTTTTTTAATATGAAGCATCTGGATATATATAAATATATGTCCTTGATTTTATTTATCTACTTTATCTTATCTGTCTAATGAGATTTCTACAAAAAATTAATTTTTTTTAATGAGGCTTCTTAATAATAAATTATATAAAAAATCTTAGCAAAGAGATTAAATTAATATAAAAAAAGAATATATATACATATATGTATCATTTTATTATAATTATATCAGTCTTGTATTTATTATTACCAGACAATCCAAGAAGTGATCAGAGAGAAATAATACAAATCATAAGCTGTGCTAAGAAATTACATTATGACGGAATATAAGCTCGTGGTAGTTGGAGCTGGAGGTGTTGGAAAGTCTGCTTTAACCATCCAACTCATACAAAATCATTTTGTCGATGAATATGATCCAACGATCGAAGACTCGTATCGAAAACAAGTAAGCAAACCAACTTAATTTATTTCATGATTTTGTAACAAATTCTAATAATTATTTATTTCATAATTATTGAATTATTGCTATCTAATCAATAACAAATATATTTTAATACTGTAGAAATCTAGAAGATTTAAAATTATAGCTTATGTTTTTTTTTTTATTTCATTAAATACATCTCAAAATGTTAAAGGTGGTGATCGATGGTGAAACGTGCCTTCTCGATATATTAGACACAGCTGGACAAGAAGAATATAGTGCAATGAGAGATCAGTATATGAGAACAGGAGAAGGATTCTTGTTAGTGTTTGCTGTAAATTCGGCTAAAAGTTTTGAGGTAAATATGTTAGGTAGAGAGGCAATTTGTTTATGATTTTGAAATGACTACATTGCATGTTCAATATTACAGGATATTGGTACATATAGGGAACAAATAAAACGAGTAAAAGATGCAGAAGAAGTACCAATGGTCTTAGTGGGAAATAAGTGTGATCTTCAACAGTCTTGGGCGGTAAACATGACTCAAGCGAGAGAGGTCGCGCGACAGTATGGTGTGCCATTTGTAGAAACTTCCGCGAAAACGAGAATGGGTGTAGACGATGCATTTTATACTTTGGTGAGTAAACACTTTCTTCTTTCTCTATATCTTTAAAGTATTATACATTTCAAGTAGCATGATAAAATAATCATAACATATTTTCATAACTACGTTTGAAATAGTTTCGCGAAAAGTTTCAAGTGACAAAGTTCCGTCATACATTTCAGGTCAGGGAAATACGAAAAGATAAAGAACGTACAGGTAAACCACCTGGCAGTAGTGGGCACAAGAAACGTCGATGCTTTATTTTATAAGTCTTTGGATAACACCAATATACTTTTACTCGATTACTACGTAAAAATAGGATATGAAAAGCCTTACATTATGTTCACAGCACAAATATTTACAGCTTATCCTATAGAATATTGTAATGAATTGCAAGCACAATTTTTTCTATACATTGAGAGAGAAGAACAAATTACCTAATAGTACGTTTTTACTAATGGGCTTATGTTGCATATAAGAATGTTTACATTTTGGCAGCTTGCCATGCAATTCCATTACTGAAGCGTCTTAACCCTTGATTGAATGAAAGAATATTGATTTTTTTAATTACATGTTATTTAATGTTGGCA